ACAGGTTGTGAACTCCCAGGGTTGCATTACTCGGTTGGTGGTCATTGGCAGGGGAAGATTCAGCTGTTACCCGCCGTGTGGGGGGCTGTCTACAGGATCAGACCTGCCCTGTCAACGCTATGGACAGCAAGAACAACAAATCAAACCTTAGCCTTCAACACATTGTTGAAGAAGTAACATAAATGCTGCTTCTGTCAGTCACTTTGAGGTTGCATTGATGCTGCCATTCAGCATTAAGTTTTAAACTTGGTGGCGGAAAGAAGCTCATCTTTCCCAGTTGTCGTCTCACAACTCACACATTAAATTTCATACAAGGAATTTTCTTCCTCTTGGAAAAACTCATGCTTCATTCTGACCAGAATAAATGCCTACCATGGGAGAGACTCTGATTTGTGGGAATCAAATCAATACATGAGTAATTTCCTCACATTCCAAGAATCACAAGAAAAACTAGTAAGCAAAGGTCTGCTGGAGCCAAAAATCGCCCCCGTTGTTTCACTTCCTGTATGTCGAGAAGAGAGGAAAGGGGAAGAAATCTTGCCTCTTATCTTTTGATTGCAGCTTTTTTGATGTCAGCCTGACCTGCTTTGGGTCAAAGGTCATAACACTGTTTGGTGCATCTTCACTTGACCCTAAAGTGTTTCAACAGACGTTTCTGGCGACTGTGACCCAGTCCAAAGGTGCTGATGCTGCATCAGTGTCATGTGTCTCTACATGTTAATGTCTAAGAAAAAATAACTGAAGCTCATTATGAAAACTACAAAAATCATATTAAATGTTCTGCCAAGTTTGAAATCAGCTGGTTAGCCTAGTTAGTCTGCAACAACCAAACTGTCCTGGATAAAAGATCAGCAGAGCAGCTTTGGATTAATGGGAGGCATGAGAGGATAGCAAAGCTCCAGTTGTGGACCTCCCATGGGTGGATGGGAACACATTCAACTCCCAACAATAAATCCAGAGTGTTAAAATACTCCAGTTTCACTGGTGTCATCTGATCAGATACAAGTTGTTCAGCCAGATACTAACTTAACTTTAGTCCAGATGTTCTGCATCTGTTACGTGGTTAGAGATCTAAAATATAAGTAAAAGCTGGATAAAAGCAGAGCTGCTTTTTGCAACTTTATGTGTGTAATCACTTTGACCTTTCAGGAATTTATATATATATATATATATATATATATATATATATATATATATATATATATATATATATATATATATATATATATAAAACGCAATACGTCTGCAGCCAATCTAAAAGGTCTTGATACATTTTTGTTTAATATGTTGTTTCCAGCAGTTCACAAATTTATGCATGTGTGTTGATCATGTTTTCCTCTGAAAACACATGATAAAATATTTACAAAAAATGTGAAGGCAAACTACAGCTTGTGAGATACTGTACTATTGAAAAGACAAGATAGACGTTATAATCAAAGCTATAAAGTGGCTGAAAATAACACTAGAAGACTTATAGGATATAGGGACGTCCTGTATCCTGCTTATATCTAAGGATAAGAAATGCTGGACAGAAGCGTTTTATTCCACAGAAAACATCCAGACTGGTTTAAAATATCCCAAAAACCTTGTAAGAGAGAACCGATTACCGGTATGTTCTGCTAAACAGAGCTTGACAACCGTTCCAAAAGGTCCAGTAAGACTCACCCAAAAACAACCATGAGCATCACTAAAAAACAAATAATTTAATGCGTCAAACATCGAAAGCATCATGCTTTAAGTATACTTGACTTCAATTTAATCTAATCCTTTCTAAGCTGAATAACCCATAAACATTTTTTAATAGCTGCCAGTTGTGCCTCAACACCTTCAGATCTCAGGAAAGATGAAGATGGATTTTATCTTTAAGCTTCACTGTGACCAAAGATTGCATCAAAACCAACAACAGAATGGCTTGACAAAAGCGGAGATTTAGGTTTTGGAATGGCTAAAAAAAGCAACAGAAATCTGCAGTGTCACTTTAAGGGAGCTTTTGACAAAATATTTCCTCACAAATCTGATAAAGCTGGAGGATTTTTCAAAGAAAAGTGGACCAATATTCCCAATTCATGGTTTAGGATACTGCCAGATTCCTAGAAAAGAAAAATTAAATGGAGTCAAATGGGTCTAGTAGCCATTAGTAGTTTAAGGGCATACTCACTTATGAAACAGCATCAATGCACCATTTAATTCTTTATGATTTACCTTCTAGTTGTTAGGATAATTATCATAGATTAACTTTTTTTTTTAAATGTGCAGGATAAACATAAAATAAAATTATGCATAGACTAAAGCTGGGTATACACTGTGCAAAATTTTCAATTATTGTATGCAGCTACAATTTTAACTGTAAGATGAAACTGTAGGGTTTTAAAGTTCACAGCTCACAATGTGCGTTCCTAAACTGCATGACTAAAAACCAAACGCCGAAAGATGGCGCTGGTCGGACTCGTCAATCATGAAGAACAAGGAGGACTCCCTTGTTTGCACATGTGCAGTGCTCGAGGTTCTGGTAAATCAGCTCGTAGCTCTGCTTCAACGGCAGGATTTATCCACGAAAACCTTATGAGGGTCTACTGAATAGAAAAATCTTTGATTTTCTCCAGACCTTACGATTCCTGATTGGGAGGTGGTTGTGAGAGGCTAATCGCCCCTCGTTACCCCCTGTATACTACATGACGCACAAAGTCGAGGCTCAAAGTTGGCCCTATTGAAAAAATTCTTGCACTAGAACAGGCCTGGAAAGGGCAAAAAAAAATCGTACAGTTTATGCGCGGCTTAAGCTTCCTAAAGATTTTTTTTTAACATCTCATATGTAATTTGATATCTTCCAAGTTTTAGATGTTATCTGTAACAATGCGTAATGTGGCTAATGGCAATCCAAAAAAAAAAAAAAATGTATTAACTCATTGCAGATAAATGGTAGGAGGTTTCATCATAACTAAATATCACATGTTGTGTCACAGGGCAGTTTTTTCCATCACTCTATTTATGCTTCAGAGGGAATTGGATGTTTTTTTTTTTTTTATTATTTCATTCCTTTATTTGCTTAGTTTTTCTTCCAAGAGCAGAAAAATGTTATTTTTCAGAGTGAGTCTGAATAAGGAAGCTGGTTCTGTTTCAAAACATCAGAATTCTACGCTAAAAAAAATAACTATTTTACTATGATCAGTCTCCGGTCTGGTCTTTTTTCTTTAATTTGCAGAACAACCTTTCTCATATTTGTCAATATGAGAGTGGAGGTTGGTTGAGGGCCCAAATGCAGAGATAAGGGAGACTGGGTTTAATAAAAAAAAAAGGCACGAGAAACAAAATCCAAGAACCAAAAACCAGGAGACATCAGGGGAAAACGCACACAGGGAGCCAAGTAACAAAAAGGAACCGGCACAGGTAGAGTATATATGGGAGGCAGAACAAAGACTAGGGTAACCAGCTGATATGGAGCAGGTGTTAATGGAAGTGACTAGAAGGGAGCTAGAGAAGGAGACTGGCACAAAGGGGCAACAGAGAGTAACTTAAATATATCACAGAAAAAAGGAAAAAAACAAACCAAAGATCAACAAAATAGAATTACTAAGATTACTGAAAAGTAAAAACTCAAAGTCCAAGAGGGGAGAACCATAACGATATTTAGACTCTGAATTCATGAAATCTTTATTTTCTCTTTCAGAACTCACAAAAATAAGCATTTATTCTCTTATAATTTTTTTTTGCTATTATCAACAGTAAAGGTTTAGAAAAACATAATTTTACAAGCCATTCAAATCTCTATATTTATTAAATGAATGATTCTGATTAATTCCCATACATGGGCATAGAATAGACAATTTTGAGGGAGTGGGTAATGCACTGTTGTGTTTGTCAATGAGAAGGCGGGGCTCATCCAGGGCACCAGTCATTGCCAGTAGTTGTTTGTATAAGGCCGGAATCAACCATGAAGCATCCAGTCATGAAAAAATTTATTTAAATGTTGTATTTTCAGAATTATAAATGGATTTCATAAATTGTACTTTGATTTAAAGTCAACAAACACATCAGGATATTTGTTGTCAGTTAAAAATGATTACACTGAAATAGGAAAATGTAGAAATGATCAAATGCACATTATCTAAAGTTTGTTTTGCTTACACAGTAGATTTCATGTAATGTAGTATTTATGTAATATGTAAGTTCTGGTTAAAATCCAATAATTAAGTTAAAACACGATCAAAAGCTTTCCAGAGTTATTAGGACAGTTTTAGTTTAGCAGTGTATCAGAGCTGCTGCATAACATACAAACTTCAGTGTTTACAGATAGATGTTCTTCTACAACCTTTTCTGTTCAAAACGCAAATAAGACTCCAATTTCTATTAAAATATAACAATATCAATAATAAAAAACACTAATCAACAAACAGTACTGACTAGAATTCAGGTTTGAATAGCATAAATAGTTTATATTTATGCAAAAACAGGATTAAAACCACTGACATAAGCCATGAGAGAGATGACAGTTATACATGACATACAAATAAAAAGTATGTAGGTAAATGTTTTTTTAAAGTGTAAAGGGAACAAAAACATTAAAAAACGATTTAATAGTCTAACAAGATTAACTGCACAATGTTCCAAGCTTCTTATTGCTTTGCCAGAACTTCCTACACATTCAGTCCCACACAGAAAGTTTAGCTACTGGAGGCGCATATTGGGCCCCACCCTCTTCCCTTCTCCTCCTTCTCTATGGATCAGTCCAACGGAGGTGAAGGAGACTGAACTGAGCAGATCTCTGAAAGTTTCAGACCACTAAAAAGAGCCATGTTTCTAACATAATGACTTTTTAGAAATAAATATATCAGTACATGACTATGATTTTGGTATAAGGGGTCCTTAGAAATGATGAAACAATGTTTTGCCTATTAAATGTATAATTAAACTGAGGGTTTGATATAAAAAGTCAAATGTAGACTTAAAAGCTAGGTTCTATGTGTAACACATTTTTTATTTAAAAGTTTGCATGCACTCACCTCAGCCTGTGTGACATGTAAAGTGGAACAGAGCGCAGCCAGCAGCAGCAGCAGCAGCTGCGGCTGCAGCGCGCAGGACTGGAACAGCATCGCTGGATGTGCGGCGCGCGCGAACAGCTTCCCCTTCAACCCGCTCCTCTGTCCTCGGTTAAACTCACAGCTTATCTGCGGAGCACAGACGGTACGTTCGGCTGCATCTTTGTCCGAGACGATGTGAACTTCTGATCAATGCAACTTGCTCTTGTTCCCGTTGCACCACACCCCCCACCTTCCTCCAAAAACGACCACCCTCTCTCCCAGCCAGACCGAGTCTAAAACTGCTTGTTTCAAACACTTTGACTTTTCTCTGTACGGAGAGGAACTACTCGGGACACTTCTGGGCTTTATGTGGGATATTTGGGGGTCCCTTTTTTTTTTCCTGACACTGGGGATGATTCCGTGTCTTTTCTAGGTCTGGTACTAACCCCTCTCTCCAATCTGTGACATCTCTATTCCAATAGGACGCGCGTTACTAAGGCAGCCGTAAGTTATAAAAAGTATTTTATGCACTTCTGTATGAAGGTGATTTCAAACTATTGTTGGTTTATATAAAATTTTAATTGCTTAATCACATTATTTTCTTCTATGATGAACTCCGATTGCGTCTGCAATCAACAGGTTGAGTGAACATGCTTTAAGTCTGCATCCAAAAGTGGGGACTTGAGTTTGATCAGCAGTGGGACCATGCAAAGGCAGCACAGAGGGGGAACAAACCTGAGGTAAAACATCAGTAACTTAAGAATTTAGCTCATTTTCTGCTTTTTATTCATTAGGATTTACAAGAGTGTGTTTTATTTAACAGGCTGCTGCTTCTTTGCCTTTACATCGCCATCATCGCCTCTGGAGCGCAAGCTGTAAGTTTTATAGATTTTTTTTTTCACTGCAAAAAAATGCACACTGCTGACAATAGTGATAGAAAATCAATCCCATTCCTTTTGGGTTGGAATTGTGCTGCTTGGAGTTGTTCGTGTTTTTCAGCTGCCAGTGGGAGTGTCTGCTATGGGGAGTTCCTTCAGTAGGAGGGCTCTTCCGTTTCTTAGGATGATTGGTAAATAAAAAAAATAAATAAATAAACTCTACAAAAAAGATGTTAGAAAATTGAGTCATGGTTTGAAGTTTTAGTTATGAGCTTTTTAACAAAGTAAAAAAAAAAAAAGATGAGCTCTTGATGTCTGATGGGAGACACCTGACCCTTTGACCTGGCACCAAGGGGGTGGGAGTGGGATCATGACCTCTGTCTCCTGCATGATACCTTCCTTAGCTCTGTATGCATTCTTAAAGGTAAAATTATAAATAAAGCTTTTTATTCCGGTTCCAATTATCTTTTTCTTATCTGTTCTTCATTCTCATTTTTAACACTACAAACAAATCACTTTAAAGTTTTGGATTGACCTGCTAAAACTTTGGTATTAAATGTGAGAGACTTTACCCTGCATGGATATAATTATGGGGGTTCCCTGCACTTTGTCAAATGTCCATTTTTGTCCCTTGCGTGCTTTACTGTCCAAAAACATTGTTACACTACAGTACAAAGATATACGTCGAGCACTCGGACCAAGCAGAAAACCGCAGCTCAAGCTGAAGCCCGCTTACCAGAGTTTTGATGAAATGTAATTAATCTTTATTCACATTACAGCTTGTAAACTTTTAACTTAAAAAGTCTGTCCTAATTCCTGTCACCCTAATTCTCCATATTAGAAACATTTGAGTTTGACATAAAAACAAGAGATTTCCCAATCCAATAGTGATTTCCGAAATCGGTCCATTCAAGCAAAAAAACAAATATTAAACTTCGTGATAGAAAAATAAACTTAGTTCCACCTCCCACCAAAGTCCCTAAAATCTTTGTTATGTGCAAGCTAATAGAAATACTATAAATGTAACCTGTTGGTTGAATAAAAAAAAAAAGAAGGGGGACACAATCACAAAGTGGAAATTCATTGGATATTTTAAACTTTTAAACAAAACTTTAAAAAATTGACCGTGCAAAATTATTTAGTCCCCTTAAGTTAATACTTTGTAGCACCACCTATTGTTGCAATTTCAGCTGTACGTCACTTGGGGTATTTCTATCAGTTTTGCCATCGAGAGACATTCCCCATTCTTCCTTGCAAAACAGATGGATCTCAGTGAGGCTGGATGAAGAGTATTTATGAACAGCTGTTTTCAGTTCTTAGCACAGATCTTGGGTTGGATTCATGTCTGGACTTTGACTTGGCCACTCTAACACCTGGATATATTCATTTGTGAACCATTCTACTGTAGCTATTATCCCGGATTATTGTCTTGTTGAAGATAAAACTCCATCCTAGTCTCAAGTCTTTTTCAGACTCCAACTGGTTTTCTTTCAGAATGGTACTGTATTTGGCTCCATCCATCTTCCCATCAATTTTAACCATCTTCCCTGTCAATGATGAAGAACAGCAGGCCCAAACCATGGTGTGGCCTCCACCATGTTTAACATAGGCGATGGTGCGTTCAGGGTGATGAGCTTTGTTGTTTTCACGTCAAACATGAAGTTTTGCAATGTGGCCAAAAAGTTAGGTTTTGGTTTATTCTGACCAGAGTGCCCTCAGTCACGTATTTGGTGGGTCTACCAGGTGGCTTGTGGCAAACTTTAAACAAGACTTTTTATGGATATCTCTTTGGCTTTCTTCCATAAAGGCCAGCTTTGTGCAGTCTACCACTACTTGTTGTGCTATGGACAGATTCTTCCACCTCAGCTGTAGATCTCTGCAGTTCATCCAGAGTGATCATGGACCTCTTGGTTGCATCTCTGATCAGTCTTCTCCTTGTTTGTGCTGAAAGTTTTGAGGGACAGCCTGGTCTTTGTAGATTTGCAGTGGTCTAATACTCTCTCCATTTCAATATTATCGCTTGCACTGTGCTCCTTGGGCCTGCTTGGTGTGCTGCTTGTTCTTCATGATCTTCTCTGCGCTCTCACCTCTGAGACGATAGCAGAGCGAGTGCATTTATACAAGGCTTGATTACTCACAGGTGGATTCTTTTTATCATCAGTCATTTAGGTCAGCAATGGATCATTCAGAAATGCTCACTGAACTTCTGGAGAGACTTTGTTGCACTGAAAGCAAAGGGCAATTCATTTTGCACCCCTCACTCTTCAGCCTTTTTATTTGTTAAGAAAGTTTAAAATATCCAATAAATTAGCATTTTATTTCTTTATATTTGATGACTGAAATATGGAAAAAAAAATCTAAAAGCTCCCTGGGGCCAAAAAAAGAGATAGGTGATGTTATTGTATGCAGTAATTCCTGTTGTGGTTCAGCACTTCTTTGACATATTTTATGTCAGTACAATGAATGAAGAAATCCCAACATAATTACTGTACAATTTGAGCTACATTCAGTATGTAGGTCATGAATTGTTGCTGATAATTTCCCCCTTTGCTATTGTATACATTTTGTATTGTCCATTTTTATTCCTTAAATATTATGTTTAAAAACACAAGCTCTAGGAAAATGTTCCTTCTCAGGAGAATCCCTCTTAGCTACACCCTCAAAGACCGGAGTTTAAGACCCCCTGATCTACACTATTGAAATTAGGTAGTGTGTATGGTGTTAACACCAATCAACAGCCTCATAGTTTTATAATTGGTCTTAAAATATAAGAGTTGGGTGGCCATAGCTGTGATCAAGAAACAACCAACAGAAACAGTAAGTAGTGTAAAATGGTGTAAGAGTGAAAATTGCCATACATTTCACAATATTTTGTATGGAGGCACAATGTTTGCAGAAACTAGTGAATTATGTAGTTTTAAAAGTTTTCGAACATGGAGTATGATATGCATAATTTCAAATAAGCTGCTGGCTTTTAGCTTTCATCCATCCATCTATCTTCTCTCACTTATCAGTCATGGTATCTCCAGCAGTCTATGGCTGAAAGGCGGGGTAAATGGTGAACAGGTCGTCAGTCTGTCGCTGGACAGCCTTTTATCTTATTATTCTAAAATCATATAAATCAATTTAATAATTATTTTACATTTACTTGACTGTGGCTGGAACGTAGGAATAATCATCTTTACCCATGGGCAAGCCATTGAACTCAGAAGTTGCCTATCAGTTTTCATATCTCTGTATGAATGTGTCAAAGTGTTGAAGTGTGACTTAGTAAATGTAGCTCAGTGCTTTGAGTTGTAAGTATGACCAGTAAAGTGGTTTATGAATTAGGTCTGTCCACAATTTGAAGGTTTTTAAAATGTATGCAACACGATTCTGCCTCCCGATCTTAACGTATGAAAAGACCAACTTATTTTTTGTTTAAAGGAAATTCGTCAACCGTTTGCTGTCAGTGCGTGAATATGTCTTTTAAAAAAAGCATGGGCTTTTAATGTGCATCCTAAAGGTGAGTGCTACAACACTTGGTTTTCTCTGTCTATGAGAGTCTCATTGAATAGCAAGAAGGGAAATAGTTGTTAAGCTGAACGGCTGCATAAAAGAACCTGTACCGCAGAGTGCAACCAAGTTTTAAAATCAAATCAATGCTGGAAGTACACACCAAAGGTTTTGGACATTTCTTCTTATTATTATTATTAAATACAGAGACTTAGAAAAAGGCAAGAAAACCTTAAATTAAGTTGAGTGGCTTTAACAGCTAAACCTTACCATACATTGATGAATGAGAGACCTAAGATCAGTGGATTTAATGTGACTTTGTTAACTTCCTGTTAGGCGGACTCCTGTTGATTTTGTTGGGAATTTCGTTGGTATGTCCTTCCTGGACTACAACTTTATAATCAATCAATGAATCAAACAAGTATAAAATTGTGTTCTGCTCAAAATTGGACTGGACTGTTCTACACTTAGCAGAAATGTTGTCTAACACTTTTTTTAAACCTTTAATTTATGTCTTATCTTATGTGTTGGAGGAATCGTTGCATTACCAATTATAAAAAAATAGAATGGCTCATATAATGAAGGTAAATTGCAAATTATAAGTTATCCAGATGTTGCCTTATTATATAAAACATTTCCCTGCCTAATGGGAAATAATGAAAGAGTTACTTGCCTTTTGTGTCGTGATGTTTTAGTAACTACTGTATGCACTTATATATCATCAAGCTTAATGTAATGCTGAAGTCAAAGTCTAATTTATTTGAAAGACCATCATTCACCATGTGAATGTGTTTTGCTTTTCTGTTTATTTGTGCAGGCTGTCAGCTGTTTGGTGCTTCTCCAAGATATTTAATATCATACTCAAGGCTCTCAGATGAAAACTTAT